GACCGGACAATCAAGTGATTGACATCATAAACATCGATCCACGCAATTGTACGGAAGCCTTTTAGGGCCATTTTTTCCCCCGATAATATCTTGTTTGTTTGTTTAACGGCAGTCTGTATAATTGAAATATCAAGATACTATCTTGAAATTTCAACTTAGTATTTTGAAATTTCAAGATAGTATCGATTTTAAAAAAACAACAACACATGTCCCTAAAAGGCTTCCGTACAATTTGGTTGGTTGACATGTTGTTTAACGCTGCACTCGGCAATAGTCCAGCTAAATGACGGCGGTTTGTAAATAATCGAGTCTGGACATGGCATTGTCCGAAGTGTTTATAGGATGATTTCATGACTTTTCCTAGTTATCTTTGTTAGGATACTTACTGAAATATATGTGCTATTGACGTAAATGCTCTAGGCATGATGGATGATAAATTACAAGCTATTAAGGACATTTATTATCTGTGTACTTTAAGTGGAACAATTAACAAAATTGTCGGCACTTTTACTAACTATAAATTTACCATGTTACATTCTCAATTTCTTGCACAAATGTTTGTTTGTTTGTTGTTGTGGCGCATCACAACTGTAGCTGCAACATTAGAGACCAACATATATAATATATTAATTGTTTGTTTGTTGTTTAACGCCGCACTCGGCAATATTCCAGCTATATATGACCGCGGTCTGTAAATAATCGAGTCTGGACCAGACAAGCCGGTGATTGACATGCTGATCGCGACACGCAATTTGGATACGATTACATGCATCAACCAAGTCAGCGAGCCTGACCACTTCATTTTATGTTCTTGTAGGGTCAAGGATGTTGCAGAAACAAATGCTAAACAGGAAAGACACTGTTGCTCTCTTCTGCAGAGAAGGAAATGGGCAGATTAATTTGTGTTGAAAAGGATTGATGAATGAAAGGGGTTTTTTTAGAAGCAAATCACGCTCTGTTACGAATTAAAAAAAATAATTTTGTTCTTCACCACGAAAAGAAGAATTACAAGTAAATAGCTACTTTAAAAGCATTTTAAAATCGTCGGTCCCTGAGTTGTTTTCCCCAGTTATGAAAAGCTTTGTTGTTCAGGTGGGCAAGGGTTACAGCCTTAACAGGGAGGGCACCGTGAACACGGCAGTGTGATGTACAGCTGTCTCCCTGCCCTGACACACAGACACGAACATGTGTCATCCCCGGAGGAGATTCAAGCAGCTTGTTGGATAAAACGAGACGCTCTAATTTACCGTTAATTCCTGATTCATCGCTAATGCATTTATTTTACTTTTGAGCCCTGAGTTTATTCATGACATGCATTCGTTATCTATGAAAAATAATCATGGTCCTGAAGTTTTCTTTTACAGATTTTTCAGGTATACTTAATACTGAGCCACCCGATCCCGTTAGTCGCCTCTTACGACAAGCAAAGTGGCCTTTAACGGCAAGCATGGGTTGCTGATGACCTATTCTACCCTGGATCTCCACGGGTCTCTTGCACTAATGAATAAATGGCAGTGCTCCATCAGTTTGCGAGATTGTCCGTGTTGCTGCAATTGATTTCTTGGAAATGGTGCATTGGCCGAGTATAATGCTATTGGTAGCTGTCCTATGTTGGTTATAGTTGGGATTGGATCCACAATCATGGTACAGTCCAGGCTGGTTTGTTGTTTAACGCCGCACTCAGCAATATTCCAGCTATATGACGGCGGTCTGAAAATAATCGAGTCTGGACCACACAATCCAGTGATTTATATCACGAGCATCGATCAACGCATTGGGATCGATGACATGCATCAACCAAGTCAGCGAGCCTGACCACCCGATCCCGTTAGTCGCCATTTACGACGAGCATCAAACCAACCAACCAACCAAAGCTGAGCCACCTCGCTGGGGATCATAGGGACTTAAAGTACCTCTGCTTCCTGCAGGATTTACGTCGTCACTTTAGCCACTGGTTGTTGTGCACAATGCTAGCCAATATTACAAAATACTCAGCAATGAGTTGGCTTAAAAAACACTGGTTGATGATAGTTACATCGATTATGATAGGATTACGTGTCACACAGGGGACAATAATATTACGATACTTTAACCCCCTGGACAGAGCCTTCAATAATGTCAGTTGATAATAGCATCACACCAAATTTAGAAACAAGCATTTATTTATTCACATACATATTTAAAATTTATCATACAGACCAATTTCTTTCATAATAGCTGATAATAAGATGCCCGCTGACACGGGAAAAGAGATCTTTCAGATTTACGCTGTGATAATGTGAATCCCTTGCGATTGCGAAGTCCACACAGTCAAGCAGTATATGCTTGACGGTGAACCTTTCATCACAAGGGATACACCTAGGAGGTTCGTACTCGTGTGTAAACCGACTGTAGCCAATACGACCTCCTCATGTCTTGACTGAAAACCCAAGTTGGCCGATTGTTTGTTTAACTTCGTGAAGTTTATTGCTTCCTATCTGGGTGTCCCACCTCTATTGCATGAGATCTCGAGTATAACTTTTAATAGTTGGTTTGAAATCCCTGTACGGGATAAGTAGTGGAGATAACGTTTTGTCAAGAGCTGCTTTAGCTGCAGCATCGGCTTTTGAGTTACCTATTATGCGTTCATGACTTGGTAACCAGCAAAAGTCGATGTCGCATTGGCCAGTAGAAAGATAATTGAAAAATTGTAAAATATCTTGGATTATAGGGGACACTTTTAAGTGCCTGAAGGCATGACAATGAACTGACCCACACAAACATGAGTTTCTGAAAAATTAGATTGCAGGGAAACGAGTCTTCCAAATGGCCATGTGAGAGTTTTTATGTCTACATTTTGCCCCTTTAGACTCATCCATGAGAATATCTAAAACATTTTTTCATCAATATGAATTAACGCCAACAAAGGATAATAAAGAAATGAAGATTTGGGGGTGCTTTCCATCAGGAAAACTTGAAACAATTTCTGAAAAGAAAGGCTCCAAAAAGGGTGTGGTCTGGAGCTCTGCCATCTCCTGTTAGGTGAGGCAGCCTTAGGAACTTCCTTGCACCTCTGATATTTCACAAATACTCGAGAGCTGAAAGTAGTGAAAACACATTGTGGAAATTAGGCATTTGTCACAAAAGTAAATCCTGAATGTTGGGAAGAGGATTGTGAAATATATATATTTGCAATCATGAGTTGTGGGTTAGTAGTTTTGTCATTAACACTGCAATATAATTACACCTAAAACATAGTCTGTATTATAAATTGTTAATATGTATGTGAATAATTAAATGCTTGTTTTTAAATTTGGTGTGATGTTATTACCAACTGACTTTATTGAAGGCTCAACCCAGGGGATTGAAGTACAGTAAAATTATTGTCACCCTGTGTGACACGTAATCCTATCATATTCGATGTAACTATCATCAACCAGTGTAAAAAAGCCAACTCATTGCTGAGTAATTTGCAATGTTGTTCAATATTGGCTAGCATTGTGCACAACCACCAGTAGCTAAAGTGATGACGTAAATCCTGCTGGGATATTATGCAGGAAGCCGAGGTACTGAAAGTCCCCATTATCCCCAGCGAGGTGGCCTAGCTTTTGTTACTGGCTAGCCTATTGCCCGTGTTTAAAACTGTATAAATAATATTGTCATGTCCAAATATGTTTGAAACAATTGTTTTTAAATATAACCTTGAATAGACCCATGAAAATTTCCGGGGTAGAGTAGGTCTACCAAGGAAAAGGCGACTATGCTTGTCGTACGAGGCGACTAACGGGATCGATGCATGTCATCGGTCCCAATTGCGTGGATAAATGCTCCTGATATTGATCGCTGGATTGTCTGGTCCAGACTCGATTATTTACAGACCGCCGTCATATAGCTGGAATATTGCCCAGTGCGGCGTTTAACAACACACCTTGTGACAACATACTGACCACGCATGACGTGGGATGTGGTGAGAAGCATTATCTTTCGCTAGAAACCCTTCCTTCTTTTTTGTTTAACGCTGCACTCAGCAATATTCTAGCTATATGACGGTGGGCTGCAAATAATCGAGTCTGGACCAGAGAAGCCCGTTAGTCGCCTTTTACGGCAAGTATGGGTTGCTAAGACCTATTCCTGGAGGCTGGTGAAGTTCCGTTGCATGTTGTCTCGGATTTCGACCTCCTCTGCGAGTTTGTTATTTAAGAAATAGACTGAAAAGACGAGTGAGAATCGTTTATCGTACAAAAAAACTATGTGGTTTATACTCCCTGCAGTGTTTTATGTACGATAAACAACGACCACGAGTCCTTTATTTTTTAAATGAGAGACCCGTGGAGATCCGGGGCAGAATAGGTCTTCAGCAACCCATACTTGCCGTAAAAGGCGACTATGCTTATCGTAAGTGGCGACTTACGAGATCGGGTCAGACTCGCTGACTTAGGTTATGCATGTCATCGTATCCCAGTTGCGTAGATCGATGCTCTTGATATCAATCAATGGATTGTCTGGTTCAGACTCGTTTATTTACAGACCGCCGTCATATAGCTGGAATGTTGCTGAGTGAGTGTTTAAACAACAAACAACATAGCACATGGGTGGAAACAATAATATATTTATTAGAAAGCTCACAATAAACGACGTTATTGAGTACTAGCGATAGAAAATGCTTCTCACCAAGTTCCATGTCATGCATGGTGTGTGAGTGAGTTAAAATTTACAAAACATATCTTTTATTGATGTACATAAAGTAGTGACCCCAGCAATGAGACGACTTAATGGATGAAGTGCTTGGTTGCGTGTCATCGTACCCCAACGACGTGAATTATTTATTGCTCATGATGTCAATAACTGGATTGTCTGACCCAGACTCGTATGTTTACAGGCCGCCGTCATGTGGCTGTAATATTGCTGAGCGTGGCGTTAGACAACGTCAAACATGCAAAATTATCCCTCTTGAGGACATACCGAGTCAGGCTGACGCGACCATCTCACAATCTGTCTACCAGACAGACGCGGACGCCCAGGCGGCAAATGGCGACATACCTAACCTGCAGCTAAACGTCACACAAATATTCACCTCTTTTCTCTTAAGAGAAGAATGACACGGCTGAGTTATTTTAACGGCGTCGTCAGATTCTTCCCGAAGACAACGACGTGCACAATCTGAAGGACAGCAACAGTTGCCATCACTATCCCGCGACAAGCTTTGTGAAGTACTTATTGCAAACATAATGTTACATGGACGTCGTTACTGTTGATGTGGTTGTTCCCATAAGGATGATTTCACCTAATGGGCATACAAAGTTTCTGATCGGGATACGCCCTCGGCACAGATTATCATAAGTGTTGAAATCTGGCTCAACTGGCTTCACATATTTGACTTGTGTGACTCCATTACGTTTATGTGAGGGATTTGTGTGATTCTTTTGGATTAGTGTTGGTCTTGGACCTCGGGATTGCTATATTTGTTGCTCAACCTGGAGAGAATCTTCGAACAGTTTTCAAGCTCGACGTTATAACAGTGTTTATTTCTGTGTCAATAACACTGCACATTACAAGTGTACATAACAACTACTGCTTCCATTTGCCGTTACAACACAATCGACGAGAGAGGATTCTGGTGCAAATTTGTTGACAATAATTGCAACGTGCTTAAGAAAAAGGTCAAGGTCAACGGGGAGACGCCGAAATGGAGAAGCCCCAGATTGAATCCAAATCGTTTCCAGTTTTCGTAATAGGATCGTTTGTGGCCTATGCTTTGTTGGTCACTGGCTTCTTCGTGCCGTACTGGATTGGTAACGACACTTTAGGTGTCTACAATGGCCTGTGGTTCGTGAGAATATGTACCCCGCAGGATTGTCAGAATCTGTGGTATATTAATCACGGTAAGTCACGTTGTCATGTAAATTTATAATGTTGTTACTTTGAAAACATCAACAGTATATTGAAATGTCTCAGGTGTTCTTTTCAAACAGAAGGTATCGTATCGCAGTAAGAGAGATGATTTTAATTAAATTGATCTGGAATCCTTATTCAAAGGTCATTTTCTGTGAAAAAAATATGCATAATTGTATGTTCATGATAAATAAAGAGATTGGTTGATATATTTTCAAAATATTTTGGAACCAATCTGAGAAGTGCGCTCTAAATCAAACTGCATATCGCAACTTTTTTTTATAACCAGTTTATCTGTAGTCCACACAAGTGACGCTTTGCACAGCTGATACTGAACTATAAACGGATGAGGAGTATCTAGACTATAGCTTCCTATTTTTAGCCGGATTCGAGTGACAGGACCCTAAATATAACCGTCCAACTAAATCACACTTATGAACGAGGGAATTGCTGAGCTTAATTAGTTAGAGAGGTCGAGATAATGACGTCATTTCCGAAATGAAGCTACGGTGGATATAAAGGTTCAAGGGTAAGGAAAGGATAAATAATAAACCGGATATTAGAGGACTGATCAGGAATACCGTGAAAGCTTTGAACTTGGGATATCTGGGGTTTAAATGCTTCTGTGTGACCCATGCTTGCCGTAAAAGGCGACCTTAGCTTGTAGTAAGAAGCAACTAACGGGATCGGGTGATCAGGCTCGCTGACTCGGTTGATGCATATCATCGTATCCCAATTGCATGGATCGATGCTCATGATATCAATCACAGGATTGTCTGGTACAGACTCGATTATTTACAGACCGCCGTCATATAGCTGGAATATTGCTGAGTGAGTGTTTAAACAACAAACCAAACCAAAACGTTTCGCCATCCGTGTATCGTCAATACTTCCATTTATCGTGATATGTATCGCATCGACACCCGTGTACCGTCAGTACTTCCATTTATCGTGATATGTATCGCATCGACACCCGTGTATCGTCAATACTTCCATTTATCGTGATATGTATCGCATCGACACCCGTGTATCGTCAATACTTCCATTTATCGTGATATGTATCGCATCGACACCCGTGTATCGTCAATACTTCCATTTATCGTGATATGTATCGTATCGACACCCGTGTATCGTCAATACTTCCATTTATCGTGGTATGTATCGCATCGACACCCGTGTATCGTCAATACTTCCATTTATCGTGATATGTATCGCATCGACACCCGTGTATCGTCAATACTTCCATTTATCGTGATATGTATCGCATCGACACCCGTGTATCGTCAATACTTCCATTTATCGTGATATGTATCGTATCGACACCCGTGTATCCGCAATACTTCCATTTATCGTGATATGTATCGTATCGACACCCGTGTATCGTCAATACTTCCATTTATCGTGATATGTATCGCATCGACACCCGTGTATCGTCAATACTTCCATTTATCGTGATATGTATCGTATCGACACCCGTGTGTCGTCACTACTTGTAAGTATCGTGTTATGTATGATATCGGCACCCCTTTAGTGCTACTATTTGTATGTATGATATATCTTCCGGGAATTGTAACTACTTGTATGTATCGTGATATGTATGATATCGGCACCCGTGTAATGCTACTGTTTGTATGTATGGTATATAATCCGGAAATTGTCACTACTTGTATGTATATCGTGAAACATATCGTATTGACACGCTTGTTTCGTCATGCACATGGTAGGGCGACAAACTGGGCAATAACTTGTCGAATTATCGTCGTGCAAGCTGATATTTTACATTGTGTCGTCACTGTCGTGGCACTGGTGACAACACAACTTTGAATGACTGATTTGTCGTATGTTGAATGTTTATACAGGTCCTGTAAAAGTTGCCTGATGTTTTGTATAACGTTCGTTTATGCTTTGTAAATTCAGCTGATCGCATACCGGAAGTCGAGCGATGGGATGTTGTACGTGCATTTGAAACGTTGGCCGTGATAGCTGGAGTCTTCTCCCTTGTGTTTGGCGTGCTGATGATAACGACGCGACATAAAACGTCGACCAGTCGTCACGTGACACAAGGACTGTTCTTCGCGACGTCTCTGCTTGCAGGTAAAAGTAACTAAGTGTATTCTTAACCACAACTTTACATTACTAAGTATAAGCATAATATGCATATAGGTATGAGTAATAGCTCATCGGCTGTGTATACCCGTCAGAATCCGGGGTAGATTAGGTCTTCAGCAAGCCATGCTTGCCGTAAAAGGTGACTTTGCTTGTCGTAAGAGGCGACTAACGGGATCGGGTGGTCAGGCTCGCTGACTTGGTTGGAGCATGTCATTGATCCCAATTACGTTGCTTATGATATCAATCATTGGATTGTCTGGTCCAGAATCGATTATTTACAGACCGCCGCCATAAAGCTGGAATATTGCTGAGTGCGGCGTAAAACAAACCAACCAACCAACCAAATCATCGGCCGTCTATACCCGTCAAGATCCGGGTTAGAGTAGGTCGTCATCAACCCATGCTTGTCGTAGGAGGCAACTATTCTTGTTGGTAAAGGCGACTAACGGGATCGTGAATTGGTTGATGCAAGTCATCGTAACCCAATTGCGTGGATCGATGCTCGTGATGTCAATCACTGGATTGTCGGGTTCAGATTCGATTATTTGCAGACCGCCGTCATATAGCCGAGTGCGGCGGTAAACAACAAACAAACAAACGATATGCTACATTTATATGCATGTAAAAAGTTCTTGGCTGTAAAATCTAGCACAGAAAACGCAAGGGTATATGGTGATTGCGGAAGGTTTCCCATGTATGTCAATAGTTATTTAAAGGTTATTAAATACTGGGCCAAGTTATTAAATATGTTATCTTCAAGATACACTAGACAATGTTATAATATGATGCTTTTCTACAACAGCCATGGGAAACAAAATTGGGCATCAAAAGTTAAAAACATGTTATACGAATGTGGATATGGTTATATTTGGTTTCAGCAACATATGCCACGGCATTTCTTCCCCCGTTTGACACAGACCTTAAAAGATATGTACATCCATAAATGGCATGGTTCTTTGTCCAGTTCTAGAAAAGCAAATTATTACACTACATTTAAGACTACTATTATACTAGTACCTTATCCATGAAGTGTAAATTTACATAAGTTTAGAACAACTCTTTCTCGATTTCGTTGTCGCTCACATGATCTATTTATTGAAACAGGCAGATATGAAGGTATTGCATGGACTTTGTAGGATTTGTAAACTGATTGTATTGAAGATGGATTGTCCAGTGTAAAATTATTTAAGTGCAAAATATCTAAATAACTATGTCCACCATAACCCAAACGGTAACAAATTTTGTAAATTAATGACTTGTGATTGTACAGAAACTATGAGAAATCTATCAATGTTCATTTATCATGCCATGAAACTATAGAAATTATGAATTTGTAACATGCCCCAGACAATGCACTATAGGCCGGTGGCCTCATCAGTATCATGAATACTGATACGTGAATACATGAATACAGCAATATACATGAATATTGCTGAGTGCGGCGTTAAACAATCACGTCCCATTTTAATCCTTGAAACCCATTTGTCCAGAGACTCTCCATGCTGCGGTCAGTCTCGGTCAAGAGTATTCCCACTATTCATCATGCTGTTTTCATGGGTACATATTTAGGAAGAAAAAATGAAAAAAAAAAAAGGTTTGAAAAACTCAAAATTTAAATTATGTCGCCCATGGGCGAGCATATTTTCATTTGCTCAAAACGCATGTTTTCGTTTTGCAAATGTATAAAAGAGGACTATGACTGATTGGGGTCTTTGATGAGTTGGTGGTACGCCGGGGGTATGTAGCAGCCTTGGTCACGGTTGATTGATGGTTGGAGTCCATTGATGTTGATGGCTTCTTGTAGTTTTCTGATCTTGAAGTCTTTGAGGTTGGCGGTAAGGGTTTTACTTTGTCACTCTTGATACTGTGGCTTGGGTTGTGACGGATATGGCCGATTTAGAGTCTGAACTTTGATGTTCTTTAATTCGGGTTTTATGGCTCTATCAGACTATATCCATGACAATTAAAACTATTATTAAAATATTTCTCCCATTTCTCATGGGAGAAAATGTTTAGTGCATGGCCCAGCAAATATATTCCTTTGCTCTAACTCCTTTCCTGATTATGCAAAAACACAGATGGGAAACTAAATGTATCTTACACATTTGTTGTTTTACGCCGCACTCAGCAATATTCCAGCTATCTGACGGCGGTTTGTAAATAATCGAGTCTGGACCAGATAATCCAGTGATCGATATCATGAGCATCGATCCACGCAATTGGGATCGATGACATGCATGAACCAAGTCAGTGAGACCGACCACCCGATCCCGTTAGTCGCATCTTACGTCAAGCACAGTGGCCTTTTACGGCAAGCATGGGTTGCTGAAGAGCTATTCTACCCCGGCTCTTCACGGGTCCTGCAATGTCATATGCCGCGTATATGAAATCAAACTGAGAATAGCTCTCCAAGAAGGGATGTACAATACAGGACAGTACTTAATCAAAACTAGCGGTTATCAAACAATCATATTGGTTCCTGGTTTTCAAAATAATAACAATAAATCGTGATATATATTTATTAGGATGACCGGAACTTGCGCACTTTTCATTTCTAAAAACATTCCCCACGGAAACGGCAGCAACTGGGTCAGGACGCCGCGTCAGTCTTCTCCGCAGGTGTTGGAGCCCGCCGTCCCTTCTGTGGAATGGCCTTGACCCATGACAGGCAGAGAGTGCTTCTTAATGGCGAAACAGATTCTGTTTATTCCATAATGGTTGTCGTGTTCGGGTTGATCGTCCCGAGTGGGTGTGGGTGTGGATGTGTGGGCCTGTGGGGTAGGGGTGGCGATCCATACGGTGGCGGTGGTGTGATAATCTGGGGAGAAGTTTTTCATCATCCGTGGCACCCTCAACTGCCAGATTTACAGGGATGGCTTTCGTAATCCCGGGACGTTAACATTCCTTCGCCAACAACAATGAACAACCCTGCAGCACCACAACGCTAGGTCGCACACTGCAAGAGTCGTCCAAGAATTCTTGGTTGCGCACAACATCGCCATTCTTCCATGGGCAGCTGGCTCTCCTGACATAAACCCACTGAACACCTGTGGGATCAACTGGATCGTCATTCATCAAAGGACCACGGGACCGTCTACAGCTAGAGGTCGCATTGAGGGACGAGTGGCAACGGATTCACAGTATGAGGGATGACGACATCGATGAGACGGCGACCACCGTCATATAGCTGGAATATTGCGGAGTGCGGTGTTAAACAACGTACGAACGAACGAACTTAAATAGGATATGTCATAGAAAGTATCCCATTGATAATTTCTATTAATAGCACTCTAGAGTCAACCTGACACAGTGTGAATACATTGTGTGTATAACATGCGGCTGCGTGCTGTGTGTTCTGTTGAATTCATATTGTTGACAGATTCAGCGACGTCATTGTTCAGGAGCAGTACACAAACACCCCATGTGTTATACTCCAGCTGTAGGAATAATCGAGTATCATGCCATAACTCCTGCATTCACAATGTGCAGCTCACTCATGCAGTCGTATCTTAATGTGCGTTACTGAAGCCTACATCACAGCGTCTAGGCCTCAGGATAGGCCTACATTGTACGAAAAAGTAGTAGACCTGCTGGCGATGCATATTAATTGAATTGGAACACACAATAGTCAGACGGATATAGTCAGACAGTATAGCATTTGACACTGTAAATATAAATTGTTTATGGTATAACAGTAGCAGGACTGTTATGAATTGGAGTCAAAATATTATCAGGGACGGTGGGATACCCGAGTGGTTAAACGACGAAGACCCGGGTTCGATTCCCAGCATGGGCACAACGCGTGAAGCCCATTTCTGGTTAACCCGCCGTGATATTGTTAAAAGAGGAGTTAGACAATATACACTCAATCACTAACAATATGATGACGTCACGAATTCAGTGCGATTAAATAACTTAGAACGAGTACGTTTACAGTATACGATGGTGTGAAACAAGACTGCAAGTTATCGCCAACTCTGTTCGCCATGTATGTAAAACACCTGGCGGAAGGTGTTTAAACAGCTGGGATGTGGCACAGATATAAGTGATGTACTATTGTCACTGCTACTCCAGGCTGACGACTATTTGCATAGCTCCAGACGAAACTGTCACTGCAGAGAATGTTGGAGAGCCACGATGGTGTTCATGATGGAGGTTGGAAATCAACAAGGGTAAAATGAAGGTGAGCCTTCTCCGTGTACGTCAACGTCAGAACGCGCCGCAGACACTCCCGCAACTGGTCAACGCGTTACAGGCGTTAATAGCGCAGAATTCCGCAGGACAGAATTCGTACACTTATCCAGTCAGTGCCGAGGAGATGCAGAGCCGTGATTGCTGCCCGGGGCGTAGACTAAAATCTAGTCTCTGAAATGAACATATCGTACATAAAAAAAACACTTGTTCAGTTATCTTAATACAAATGTAATAAAAAGGAGCCCAGTGACTCTCTTCCTGATACTGCAGTGATCTAGACTTGCCAAACATTATAGACTTGCATGGGCTGTATTTGATATATATTTGTATCAGGGTCTGTAAGACAGACTACCCGGGGCGGTCTCACGAGATACTGAGTTCAGCGCAACCTTGTGGCCTTATGTGACATGACAATGAAAAGTTTTCAATGCCTATGTACAACGACAACATGTGACTATATAGCTCCAAAATTTCATATTTGTATCTATGATATTGACTTAAATATATCGACTTTATTAGGTACAATAAATTTACTAAAATCTACCTGTGCGTTTCTTTTTCCGAAGAGTGTATATGTAAGGCTGGATAATGAACTTTACCAGAAAGTAGGAACTATAGGCGTGGATTGTTGCCAGCAATCTCAAACACTGACCAGTGAACCATACCGCCTATTTAAGCCTGTTTTCTTTAACTGAATCACATTTATTCCGCCTTCTCTATGTGTATGTTATATCGCGATCTTAGTTTGTATGATAAAACTCCTATATTTCATTATTAAATATTATTATTATTTTTGATATTGTTATGATGATGATGATTATTATTATTATCAGTATTCATTTGTGTAGTTAGTTTCTTGTCATTAAATGCTATATTCAAGGGTATCTTCAAATTGAAATTTAAAAAATTGTGGTTTTAGGATTAATGGCGGTTGTCGGCGTCCTCGTCTTCATCGCCACCATCACGAGAACCGACATGATGTGGGCTCCGTCTCTCCCAGCTCTTGGGGGCCTGCTGTTCTTTATGTGTGGAGTCTTCACCCTCGTCATCTGTAGATACGATCCTCACGACACCCCTGACGGGACCCCCACTTATGTCATGGAGCAGACTTCATTCTAACGTCGCCTTGGCGTTGTTGGACAGCAAATTCGTTGTCATGGCGACCCGTCGATTTCATTTCGAATTCGTTCGGAATGGGTCAGTGCGTGCTTGTTATTATGGAACAGTAATGCTTTATGTCATTGTGCATACTAAGCTAAATGGGAAACACTAATATATAAACTCTCAGGCTAAATGGGTGTTTCACAAAATAGGTCACTTAATAACAGCTGCTTCCACCCATGCGTTTTCGTATACCGTACATACTTCATAAAACGACTGACCCGAGAAGATCCGGGGTAGAATAGGTCTTCAGCAACCTGGTATGCTTGCCGTAAAAGGCGACTAACGGGATCGGGTGGTTAGGCTCGCTGACTTGGATGATGCATATCATCCGTCCCAATTGCGTGGATCGATGCTCATGATGTCAATCACTTGATTGTCTGGTCCAGACTCGATTATTTTACAGAGCGCCGTCATGTAGCTGGAATATTGCTGAGTGCGGCGTAAAACAACCAACCAACCAATGATTAAACGACTGCTGACACACTTCACTAACCCTGCTGACACGACGTATAGATGTCTTCAAGTCAGTAGTATAATTCATGTGTTGTTTTTTTATTTTACGGTAAAGTTATCTTGGCCTATAGGAAATACAGTGATACCTTATTAACCCCAAGTCCTTGAGGCTATATAAAATATCGAGTTATCCGTACATCGATACAACCAGATACACCATGGATCCGAGACGTTTTGCATGCTGTCAGTCTTTGTTAAAGTATACGAGTCACGTTAATCGTAAGGCTGCGATCGCGTTGTGAACCGGGACACATATGTCTAGATAAAAAAGTTCGAGTTAAGGAGGTTCGACTGTAGATATTTCTAATGTACTGGCTGTGCGTATGTAACCTATTCCTATTCACTCAGTGTATCCTACTACCCTTATAATCATTATGTAAGCGTAAACAACGTGTTTTACAGCCTATATGGTAAACACGTCCATTATTAACGGAATTTTGAGGTGACACCCACACACCACTACCAGACTGAAAGACGATGGACCCCCCCTTATTTCTTTTAAGGTTGTATTTTCAACACTGGACATTTTTTTAGAAAATATTTAAAATATGAAGTTGATAATAGTGAAGTTCGAAAATGATCTAGACTTAATTTTTTTCAATACAATAAGTGGATGACAACGATGCAGAAGACAAGACTGTCCCTTTGTGTCGTGTATGTTGTAGAAACATCCAACCACCCCCGCATACATCTGCGGAATACCACTACATGGTCGTCTTTTCATTCAGTTTAGTGCCATGTACTAAGCATACAGCCGTATTCAATTCAAACCATATGTTATACGCACATGTATTTCAATACAGAAAACTATTTTCTCTTCTAATAAATTCATGTAGTATCCTGCTCAAAGTTTATTTGTTACTCGTGACTAACCCCTAAAGCAAACGGACTGCATCTATTATATGTCAAAGCTTTATCTTGCGCTTTTTGTTATCATCAGTAGATGAAGCTTTTGGTTAACCTTCATATGTAATACATGCAGACACGCCTTTGATTAGTGATTATTACAAAGTGCTCCAATACGTGTACATGTAAAGTGTGCGCGTGTTCCTTACCGCCACGCTTAGAAATAGTCCAGCTATGTGACGGCGGTCTGTATATAATAGTCTGGACCGGACAGTCCAGTGGTTGATAACATGAGCAATTATCCCCGCAGCCAGGTCACCGAGACAGGGCAGCGTTCCACAAAGCTATCGTAGCGCTAAGGTGATCGTAACTTCCACACTTTAACATTGACTTACGACTGTTGTTGAGCTACGATCGCTTTGTGAAACGGGGCAGTGGCCACCCGATCCACTGAGACGCCTCTATAACCAGCCGATGTTGCTGGAAGATCAGTACTTTCTTTTGCTAGCCCCCAATTTTAACCCGGAATCCCTCACGACTTGCAAATTTGTGGGACACAGTATACTAGTAAGAACTTCATTATTGTTACTTCAGCTGCTGATCATAGTCGGGGTATAAAACGGTGTCTGTTTTGGAACTTAGGTATCAATAGTATGTTGAAGTTCAGATGCATACGCACGCAATGACGCAATGTGCAGTTAATGAGGTGAGGTGGTGAGGTGAAATGGGGTTTAACGTCGCGTCAAAGATTATTGCACTTATATAGCGACGTGCATGCACGTGTGTGTGTGTGTGTGTGTGTGTGTGTGTGTGTGTTTGTGTGTGGCTGCTTGTACTAGTTAGTCCGGACTAATGCCGATTTATAGTGCTAGCTCACTGAGATACCATGCCGCAGTTTAACATGGATACCCCACTCAGACACAGTATACAGACTTGGACCAGTCCTTGCTTTAGCCCCTTAATGCCGAGCGCCAGACAGGGTAACAACAAGTACCATCTTCTAACGTCTTTTGGTATGACGCGGCCGGGGATCGAACCCCGGGACTTCCGCTCACCGGGCGGACGCTCTACCACTAGACCACGGAGGCGGTCGTGCAGTTAATGAAAGGACCAACTTGCACGAACCTTGGATCAGTATGGCTAACAGCCAAAAAACATTTTTTTTAAAGTTGATGAGACAAGACCGCGACATCGTGATCTGCCGCATCGCTCTTGTGTTAAGTCACCACTTTCACTACAGCGACGGCACGTCAACGTTTGACAACGACACGATAGCACGACAGCACCGAACGACGTCACGCCAAAATTTTGTTTTTGTTCGCACCGTAGACATTTTCGTGGCTGTTGTGATGTCGTCGCGTCGCAGTAGAGGTGACAAAACAAAAGGTAACGTTACTAATATATATGAGTTTTGGAAACAGTAGCTTCACATGTATTAACTGTCATAGCATGTGGAGTTTATTAAATCAATACCTAATGTTTAATAAAGTCTTTTATATTCCTTCATGGGTAAAATTTAATGACAACATGCAGACACTTCAATGATCCGACGGATTTCACGCAACACTTCGAACTACTTAGGGAAGCGGCCGTAAAATGATCACAACCTGAGCCGTGTGTCTCAATAACAACGCGTACAAACAAACACGAGAAATATATTTTATTGCACTTTGAGTTATCAAATATATAGGAAAATATATCCAGTGTCTCTCTAAAGTAACACACGCTCTTTTAAGATTGTTGTTACTTGCGAAAGTAAAAATATCGTATTTAGAGTCTTCTAACTCATTTACACAAGCTGAGGACTATCACAGAATTTGTCCGAAATCACATACGAACAATATCCTTTTTTCACACAAAATATTTCAGGCCCTGCCCTAGAATTGAGATGTTGTGCACTCAATACTTAGTTTTTTACCAGGTGGTATTCGCATTTTTGTAAAAAAAAATCATTTATTTGCCCCTTAAAGATAACAACATGTTTTACATCCGGTCTCAGGTTAGTCGCACAACAACCAAAAAACAATCACTTTTTCGAAAATGTCTGCATTTAAGTTATTTACACGATACGTCTTCGATACGCACTTGACAACCTGACACTTTCTGTCATAATACTTTTTATTTGTGTCACAAAATTTGGGTTGGTATTGAAAACCAGGAAGGTGAGATAGTCGGCGTCGTTCATGCGGTGCCACTGTTGGAGATGATGCAGTCAGACGTTGACGACGTCCTAGACCTTACCACCCCTCATAGCCGTAGCGGTAGATGTGGTAGCCGACAGCGGTGCCGTCAGCGATGGAGATAGACGCCGCCAGCAGCGACAGGGACGGCCCCCACACCAGCAGATCCATGTTGGACTCCGCGTAGAAGATGATCACGGCCAGCAGGGCTGCAACACCTGAACAGAGCACCATTGATACTTATTAACATATATTTAACAGAGTGCGTGAGTGAGTGAGTTTTACGCTGCTATAAGTAATGTTTCCGTAAGAAATTGTCTTCATTTACTGTACCCATATGCATGTTTGGAATCAACTCATTTACTGTACCTATGTTCGGAATCAACTCATGTCCGACCCGTGAAGATCCGGGGTAGAATAGGTCTTCAGCAACCCATGCTTGCCGTAAAAGGCGACTATGCTTGTCGTAAAAGGCGACTAACGGGATCGGGTAGTTAGGCTCGCTGACTTGGTAGATGCATGTCATCAATACCAATTGCGTGGATCGATGCTCATGATATCAATCACTGGATTGTCTGGCCCAGACTCGATTATTTACAGACCGCCGTCATATAGCTGGAATATTGCTGAGTGCGGCGTAAAACAACAAACAAAGAAACAATAACTCATGTCCAGGGCGTGACGAACTAAATCTTTAACCACAATGATATCACAACGACTTGGAGTTGAGTCCCTTAACCGTATCAGGATCCGCTAACCGTAGGTTCGAATCCAAGATTCGCACCGACTGTTATCCTTGGTCTGACAGCACTGTAGCTACTTGTGATCACGTTGTGTAAGATTGTACCTGTCATGAATGACGCCACACAAAACATCAACTGTGACGTGCGTCTGAAGACGTCGTACTCTCGAGAGCAGACTGCCAGTGTAGCCGAGCACGCTATGACGGTGAAGCCCACGACCACAGCAACCGTTTCTAGGCAACGGACGACGTCGAACCACACGGGTAGGTCAAACAAAAGTTCAACTGAAACAAAACATCGTTGATACATTAATAAACGTTTCTGTATGGAACTATTGATTGCGAGAAATGGGAATATGTGAAATAACAGAATATGTATAACAACACCCAAAGTCTGCTTGGAGAGTAAATGAATGGTGTTCCTCGGTCTCGTTTGTTTGCTTGTTTGTTGTTTAACGCCGCACTCAGTAATATTCCAGCTATATGACGGCGGTCTGTAAATAATCGAGTCAGGACCAAACAATCCAGTGACTGACATCATGAGCATCGATCAGTTGGGGTACGATGACATGCATCAACCTAGTCAGCGAGCCTGACCACCCGATCCGGTTAGACGAAGACGGCCTGTAAATGATCGAGCCTGGACCAGACAACCCAGTGATGGTTATATTGAGCAACGATCTATGCCTCTGATAGCGAATGTTAACCAGGAATCCAGTATGTCCGTATTCCGACTTACGGATCGACGGTCGTATTGATGAAATTCATATATTTCTGACTATGGAGTGAAGCCTGAATTAAGCCTGAATTCGTCTACCGACTGCAAAGAATAAAATCGGTGTTGAGTGAATTGGGTTAACGCCGCTTCTAATAGCATTCCAGTTATATCACGGCGTGTGCACATGCTTTCGGGGAAAGCAAGAAGTGATGCAGGTAATACCTTTACCACTTTGGTTAAACCCACGATCATGGGTAAGGTGCTGACAAACCTAGAAACATAATCGGAGATAACCGGAATTCGACCCAAAAATCATAGGTCTCTGTTGTGGCCAAGGGACGAAACTCATCCACATATGTGCGGCGCCTTAGACGACTGAGCCACCCGTGCCCGAAAACGTTGTTAAAAAGAAATACCGATTTGTTTTTCTTTTTTCGGGCGCACGAGTGGCCTAATCGCCTGAAGCGCGGCAAACTGATGAGTTGCGTCCCTTGAGCGTGCCATGATCCTATGATCATGGATTCTAACCCAAAATTACTGATTATGATAATAAGTTTGCCAATGCATATCTATGCTCGCAGATTTCACCAAAGTGGTTAACGTGTAACACCTCTCTCCCCTCGCATTTGGCTGACCCGCCGGAATATATATAATTGATAATGTTCAAAATGGCGTAAAACAACACTCGCTAACTCAATTTTTTTCTTAAAGGTGTTTACAAAATATATTAAACATGCTTTACATACCATCTGTATAGCCCAGGGTGTGGCACTTGCCGCGATAGCAGGAGCGGCCGAACCACAGCCCGATGTCCTTGTGCATAGCTGGCAGGCGGAAGGTGAACCACACTGGCACGAAATACGCCGCTAGGTGGAGTATGAAGGCCGCTACAGGCAGGAACACCACCAACACGGGGCGTCTCATCTTCTGACATCACGAAATAAAGAAAAAAATATTATTATAGTCAATTGTTCTGATAAAGCTGGTAGTATACATCGGATTTGAGATACGAACAAATGTATTGGACATTGTCACCTTCTCGCGTTTTCGAACTTTCGACTTTTCACCAAAATTCGTCAAATTCGACGCCCCTTATGGTATTCCATAGGTATGGGTTAAAACATGGTTGTTTATTGAAAGTGACTCTTTCAGTTAAGAAGATGTCGGATAGCCACGTGGTTAGTGTGTTCACTTGGCATGCTGAGCCCCCGGGTTCGATTCCCCACTTCTTTGGGTTCCTGTTCCATGATAATACTGCAGGCAGTGTTAAAACTGGATTAAAATCTAAATACGTCACTCTGAATGTTCTACCCTTGAAGATCCGGATTACAATAGGTCTCCAGCAACCCATGCTTGTCATAAAAAGGCGACTTTGCTTGCCGTAAAAGGCGACTAACGGGATCGGGTGGTCGGGCTCGCTGTTTTGGTTGATGCATGTCATCGTAGACCGATGCTCATGATGTCAGTCACTGGATTGTCTGGTCCAGACTTGATTATTTACAGACGACTATTTATATAGCTGGAATATTGCTGAGTGCGGCTTTAAACAAAAGAAAACAAACAAACATTCACAGGGTACTGCATAAGAACTGTAAGTACTGTACAAATAAGAAAGAATACCATATAGACTCGGCTGATTGTTTGTCAACGTGCTACGATGACACGGATGATTCTTCATGCTTTCAATCACGGGTTCGCCTGATCCAGATTCGATCACTTTGAGGCGACCGCCATATAACGCCCGATTCATTTAGTCGCCTCTTACGACAGGTATGGGATGCTGGGGACCAATATTCTCACCCTGAATCCCCACAAGTTAATACATTGTGAAATTATGCCTTGCATTTGAGAGGAACAGTATGGGCTAATGGAGGACAGCGCCGTTTTGGCGCTTCTGTGAGCATGATTTTACACCGCTTCAAGTACTATTCCGCAATATCGTGCAGGACGGGTGACATTAAAAAGTTGGTTGGTTGGTTGTTTAACGCCGCACTCAGCAATATTCCAGCTATATGACGGCGGTCTGTAAATAATCGAGTCTGGACCAGACAATCCAGTGATTAATGTCATGAGCATCGATCCACACAATTGGGATCGATGACATGCATCAACCAAGTCAGCGAGCCTGACCACCCGATCCCGTTAGTCGCCTCTGACGAGAAGCATGTATAGTCGCCGTTTACGGCAAGCATGGGTTGCTGAAGACCTATTCTACCCCGGAATCTTCACGGGTGACATTGAAAAGGGCTCCACACAGTGTAACAGTGCAGGGAATCGATCTCTGATTTTCGGCTTGACGAGCGAACGTTGTACTCCTTGTGCCAAAAGCTACGTCAAACCATACTCTTTTTTGTTTTGTTTTGTTTGATGTTTAACGCCGCACTTAGCAATATTCCAGTTATATGACGGCAGTCTGTAAATAATCAGATGATCAGATGCTTTTATCTAACTAATTTAAAGTTATTACAATAAGACTACGTTTATCATACCGCTAATCGTCTCATATCTCAATCTGATATTCACGTCGACCTTCTCTTTACGGAAAGACCCGAGTGGTCAGGAATAGACCTTACCACTTTTTTTACTTCAATGGTAGATGCCGCGCGCTTCATGCAGCCTCCCTTCTGAATAGAATCGACTCGTCCGGAACGGGGTCTATCGGAAGATCAAAGGAAAAGGTAAAACAAACAATGTGTCAAGATTGCCTGAGGGGCGTGGCCTAGTTTCTCTGATTAGGAGATAACCTAGATTATCAACTTGGCCAGAAACAAAGAGACAAACGAATATTTCATCGCACGGGTACTTACCGCCATTCTATCCACAATCAATTAAACTCAAAACAAAATATTAAAGGTGACAAGATATGTATCGCATCACTACTCATACTATCGTTATTGTATCCACAATCAATTAAACTCAAAACAAAATATTAAAGGTGACAAGATATTTTATCGCATCAGTACTTATACTATCGCCATTCTATCCATAATCAATTAAACTCGAGAAGAAATAGTTAAGGTGAAAATAAAATCTAATGAATTGATGTCATGGTTTTCATCAGAGGTCTTGGCTTGTTTCAGTATATTAGTCCCAGTGGTTTAGATATGTCACAAAGAGTAATGCTGAATCAGGACGTGGGGTAACTTGCCTCTGTAAATATAGAACGAATTAGCCTACACATTATCTAGACAAGGGAATTCTCGAATCGGATTTGAACCGTTTAACTCACACTACTACATCTATTTTTACTACTACTACTACTGCTACTAGTACTACTACTACTACTACTACTGCTGCTGCTGGCTGCTGCTACTGTCGCTGTTACTACTACACGTATTGACTGCAACATGTTATTTTTTCAAATTTGGTATCAATAATCATAATTACAATGATAACATAATATTGTCAAAATAATTTGTTGTTATGTCATGTCGAAAACAAAATAAGCGAAGTGTGCCAGTGTATACCGTACAATTACTAGTACTTCTATCACTGACCCATACATCAGTGTATATGAACGTAGGGTCTTTATCGTTACTACTACTATTACTACTACTACTACTACTACTACTACTACTACTACTACTACTGTCGTTATTATTATTATTTTTATCATTATTGTTATTATTATTATTATTATAGTGATTGAACCCAGTTCCAGCATTCCTCTCTCAGTTAGAGTAGTTATTACTAAGTATTAATTATGAATCAATCCGTCTACCTCCCGATAATCTTGCACATCCGACACAAACCAGACGAAACTCTTGCAAAAAAGTTGACCAAAGATAAGAAAAAGCGCATAACTTCAATTTATCCAAACTAGTCCTCGTATAGTGTCAGACACGTAAATGTACTCACAAATCAGTCGCTGTAATCACCATGCCATATACCTTTGACCCTCTGAGATGAAGTGAACTCGCAACGAGTGTGTAGTTATTTCATAAAATTGTGCTCACTGTTTGCCCCGAGGGGGTATACACAGCAGCAGGAATATCGGCGCTTCCGAGTGGCCCCCCGGGGTGTTGTTAAAACACCTCGAGACATTCGGTTGAGTTTCCTTTAAGCAGGTCAGCCCCCCTGCGCAGATGACATGTACACAATGTATTTATTTACTTGTATACACAGGTTAAAATACTCCGTTTTGCCAGTTTTAATCCCAGTGTATTTAGTCCGCCATGCCGGTCTGTTGTAAAGTAGTCAGGAAATATGTGAAATATTTTAACGCTTGGGAAATGCGTATTGATATGTTTATTATACTATCTGCCATATCTGTACAAAACTTATAAAGTGACTTTTTAGAATTCTGGATTATCAATAGTGTGAATGAAAAATTGTAGCACATGTATTTTGAGCAACAGGCTGACTTTCTCGGACTTTGGTCCTGCCCCACACTGAAGCACATGTAGCACATGTTTTTTTGTTTGTTTGTTGTTAAACGCCGCACTCTGCAATATCCCAGCTATATGACGGCGGTCTGAAAATAATCGAGTCCGGAACAGACAATCCAGTGATTGATATCATGAGCATCGATCCACGCAACTGGGATCGATGACATCCATCAACCAAGTCAGCGAGCCTGACCACCCGATCCCGTTAGTTGCCTCTTACGACAAGCATAGTCGCCTTTTACGGCAAGCATGGGTTGCTGAAGACCTATTCTACCCCGAATCTTCACGGGTCTTTGGCACATGTAGCACATATGGTGTCTCCTTATGATTAGGCAAGAGACTTTGTTCGAAATGTGCCTCTGTTCACCCAGCAGTGAATGGGTACCCGGTAGGGTGAGATGACAATGTGACTGGTGACTTTAGCGCCTCAGAGGCAGCTTAGGTTATATACTTCCCGGGGAGCTGAGAATGAAAATCGAGTGCACACTGTTCCATTGACGGGGGCAGTAATGTAGCGCGTTGAAAACGCTTTAGAGTTTTGATACTTGATTGATTGGCGTAACTAAAAACACACCACTATCCAACTTCTTATTGTTTATTGAAAAGAAGTTTGCTCGAGACATACCTGCTAATAGTGCGTTATTTTGAAACTAGTTATCACCTTCATTGTGAGATATTACAGTTCCAGTATTCTAACTTGTGTTCTATGACTAACGCTAGGACAATCAAAATATATACTATTGATAGAAAAACATAACTTCCTTTAAATTGAAAAGGAGCCCCAACGAGATGAGATTCAGAGGGAATTCTAGACTTGCTTCATTTAGGGCTTTTGCATTACAGTCAGGGTTGGGCGGAAGGGAAAATAATATGGCTTAGAGACACTGAGACAGGCTGTGTTCTGCCTGCCGTGAACTAACCTACTTGCAGTTTTGCTTATTAATTCCTCTGGCGTCTGTGGTCGGAGTTTAACTCTGTCATCATGGCGTCCCTGGTCACGTGGCTGTCGTCACGCGGTCACCATACTCGCGTCGTCAGTTAAAAATTGGATGACTTTCATTTCACGATACTTATTTCTTTAACTGTTGTAATTTTTACATGACTTCGTCTTTTGTGATCGGAATAAAGACAATAACTTTAACGGACAGTTATACAAAAAGTTTATTTTTATTCCAATCGATTCGAAATCAAGTCAAATCGACATCGGAATCCAACCCAATTAGGAAAGAAATACGAGTAAAATTTCGAGTGTTGTGCCTTTGATATTTTACAATTTTCTTGACTTTAGTGAGTTTTGTGGAGTAAATTTGGAAATCAATACTAATTAATATCCTTATAAGGAAAAATGGTTTTGGCGCGGCCAGTGCAACTCAATTAACAGTGGGCTACGTAAACAAAACTTTGATTTCTTAAAGGAACACTCCGCTCTTCTAACATTTATTCCCAGAAATAAAGTAATCTTATTTTAAAATATATATCTTCAAAATAAAAAATTCAAACGAAATATAACCGAGAACAATGCTTAATTTCAGGAGCTGAGGCAATCTGGACTAGCCAAATCATTCTAGACTTGAGTTGGATTCGTTTTTTAATTTATTCTCTAGGGTCTGGTAGATAGACTACTCCACGGCCTGTCCACGTCCATAGTAGGTGCAGCGATCAGCGACGACAGCGAGTATAGTTTTATGCTGCTTTCAGTCATTTTCCAGCATTATCGGGACACCAGAAATGGGCTTCAAACATTGTACCACTGAATGAAATCGAACCCAGACTTTCGACGTTGACGAGCGAACACTTGAACTACTGGGCTACCTCACCAACTCCACAAGCAGGTGTAGACATTGTAATTAGAGCCATCTAGATGAAATTATAGCAAATTAGGTCCGTTGTCTCGCAAGGTAAAGTTATTATTCAGTCCTTAACTGATCAAAAGTTAAGAGAGAATCGAAATGGGTAATTATTTGTAATTTATATCAACACAGAAATTAAACACACAAAAAACAACGAGCAGCTTGTAAATATATGAAACCTGTAAATACTAAAATAGGACTAGATTAGACTTATGACAGGATAAATATATTTTAAAACAACAGAGACCCTATAAACCTGGACCCAAGCAAGTACTCTGTGTAGTCAATGAAAAACAGGGGTTTAACGTCGCGTGAAGATTATTGCACTACGGTTATTACGAACTAAAATTAGTGGTCTCTATGAGTTCATTATAACCGTAGTTTACTGTAGTTAATCTGTAACGGTCATTGCAGCTATATATATAACGAACTCATAGAGACCACTAATTCTAGTTCGTAATAACCGTAGTTCGTTATAAGCATATATACAACAAATGGCCTGGACTAAAAAATAAATTCGTTATATCGGTCAGTTCGTTATAAGCGTGTTCGTTATAAACGTAGTATGTATATTCAAATGAAAAACCTGATGTTCTTCAACAAGTTATACAAAGTTAAGAATTGACATTTGAACCGACCCGGGTTAGACATTTGGGCTCAAAATAGTCAAAATGGAAAGGGAAATTGGCATTCCTGATATCACGCCCAGGAGCGGTGTCTCATATAGATTGCTTGCTGGGAGTAACACGGACAGAGGGTTCGCAATATAATGGGAAACGGTTTCAAGATTGTTTTCATTACAACTTGAACAGTATAGAGATCTTTGGCAATGATTGATTTGTATGCATCGATTCCAAACTGCCTAAAGCGACGACCCATCGGCACGACCGAATCCCTTCGTTTGCGCATGTGTAACTATAGCGAGTGAGTGAGTTGTGTTCCAGTTTTATCACGGTGTGTCCGCTTAATGTGGGAGGAAATCCCGAAGTGATGCAGGTTTTAGACGCTGACTACTTTTGGGAAATCCACGAGCACGGGTATAGTGCTGACAAACATAAAAGCGGCATCGAGGCGAACCGGGATTCAAACCCACGATTATAGGTTTCTGGCGTGCCCAATGGACGCAACTTTGCACAGCGAATTGCGGCGCCTTAGACGACTGGGTCACCTGTGACCCCAGGCTTAACTAGAAGCGCCATTTAGTTATGGATGCACAGAATATATATGGCGACTAAAGCATATTCAAGCAGACTTTTAGAGTGATCTCCATCATACAATATGCATCATACGCCATACAAATACTCCAAATGCTTCATTTCTTTCACTGCGTCGAAATCCGTTGTGAGGTGAGGTGAAATGGGATTTAACGTCGCGTCACAGACAATTGCACTTTTATAGCGACGTGCATGCTTGACGCTGCGGGAGAATCGAACCGCCGACCTTCCACATTCCAGGCAACGGTTAAATCCAATCAAGATCTGAGGACACCAGCATGATCGGTAGCGTCAGGTTAACCCCCAGCAAAGTTTCCCCACCCAATCAAAATGCAGGACGCGTGTGATCTTGAACCAATCAGATGTCAGCTTTCTGGAATGATTTGGCTTAATTTCTTTACCACCTGGATTCGGAAAGTTCGATTAAAAAACTAGAAAACCCGCGCCGGATACTAATGTTCGTAGAGTGCTACTCCCTTTTGGGTGCAGATGCAATGGCGCTCAGAAACGACAGGGTGTATAAAATATCCACAATAAAATAATGACGCGGCCTTCATTACGAACATTCGGGAAAGGTATTTTAAAGTTCGTTTTCGAGATACAGAATCTGATGTGCTTGTCTGAATGTCTCGCTACTCATGCTATCAACCACACAACCTAGTAACAACAAGTTTCATTTCTTCAATAATAATGTTATACATTAGCGTTCAGATGCGTCATATTTCCTCACCTGATAATGTAAATCTTGCCTCGTATTATGTACCGTGTAATGGATTCGCACAAACTATACAGCACCTTGTTTATATTCAGACTAGAATAGGTTGAATGTCTGACTGTATAACACCTGTATCAAGCTGACACGTTGTGATTTAAATGAAATACTGTTCAAAGCGGCGTTAAACCAAACTCACTCACTCTGAGTCATTTCGATCAATTTGATCATAGTTCGTGGCTGGCTTACTATAGTCTGCGACAGGGATATTCGGATACAAATATTTCACAAGGCAGAATGTTCAATGTTTATAATTCAGTATATAGAACCACCGCCTGTTATCCGAATGCAAGTAGTAGCGCTTTATTACGAATTGCGAATCAATTGTGAAACACATTCTCCACGCCCTGCTACATACTCCCCCGTCAACAGAAGGCACGTCCCGGGCCGCATAGTAGGGTACTGAGGCTTATTTTGCTCAAATTTAATTTGAACGTGCTCGGCCCCACGTTGGGCGCCAATGTAGCGGCCGTAAAATGTCCGAGTCCCGTGATGGGATTCGAACCACGGACCTTCTGACCCGAGGTCGGACGCCATGTCCACATGACCAAAGAGGTTAACCCCGTCAGCAAGCTGACAAGGTAAGGATGTCATCTGTGGGATGACTCCACGCCCTGCTACATACTGAAGGACGCACAATGCATAACTTACAAGATCTGGCTGCTGCCGGTTAAT